CAATATCAACAAGTTAATCAAGATCCTTTAAATAATAATCAACAAGTAGAAGAACAAGTAGAAGATCACCAACAAGAAGATGAACAAGAACAAGAACAACAACCATTAGATAATAATGATAATAATGATGGAAATGGTAATAATAATGGTAATAATAATAATGGTGAAGAACAAGAACAACAATTAATAGAAGAAGAAGGAAGTATTCATTTATCACAAACTAAATATCCATTTGTTGAATTATCATCATTTACAACAACTAATATAGAAGTAATATATGATCAATTAAATATATATAGTACTCCTTTATTTACTATAATTACAACTGTTAATATTAATGAAGAACAAGATCAATTATTAGATAATCCTATTTATAAGGATCATCCTTTATTTAATAAGACTGGTTTAACTGTTAGTAGAAAAATGAAGGGTATGTTTTTAAATTTTTTAATTTTTTAATTTAATTTTAATTTAAAATAATAATTATATTTTATAATATTATAATTTAAATATAATAATATAATAATCATATAATAATAATAATAGATTTTGAATGGTTATATGAAAATTTAAAAATAGATTGTATTGGATGTTTAATACCACCTAAAGATTTATTAACAACAAATATAGATAAATTATATGAACAAACAAGTACAGATCCTAAAATATTAAAAGGAAAATATCTTTCTTTATTTTTATCATTTTGTGCTAGACATCCTATTTTATGTAAAAGTTATTTATTTTGGGATTTTATTTCAGGTAGCGAAGAAGAATTTAATAATACAATGAAAACACAATATTCAATTATTGATCCAAATTTATTAAATAATTTAAATAATAATACAACTAATAATAATACAAATGAAAAATCTAATAGTAGTAGTAGTGGAAGTAGTAGTAGTGGTGGTGGATTTTTATTTAATTTTAAAAAATTAAAATTTAAATATAATAGTCATGATAAAGAAAGAGAATATGTTAATCAAATATCAAAACAATTAAAAACAATGTTAAATAATTCAATTCAATTAAAAAAATATCAAGAAGCTTTTTTAACTGAATTGATTCAATTGGTAGAGCATTA